AGCTCAGCGGCACAGTGCCTGCCTGGCAAGTGCAAGGTCCTGAGTTCAATTCCCAGTACCAAAAATAAAAATAAAGAATAAAACTGAATACTTCTCATCTGTCTCCCAGAGCACGTACCACAGGAGAGGCAATGAAAATGCTAATTATTTCGCTGACCCCTTCACCAGAGTGATTCCTTATTTACCTTGGTAAACACTGCACTTAATGCAACAAATATTCAGTGAATGAATAAAATTTATCCTTGCCCCTTTATAAGCATCAGTATTTCCCACTCTTTATATCCCCTTTAGTAATTCTAATAAAAATTATTCAGGATGAATGTGCATATGTGACTAGTAGGAAAAACAATCTCATTATTTTACAGGTCTGCATAGCATAAAATTTTATTAATATTGTGCCAATTGGCAGGACGAAGGGGGAGAGAGAGAAAAAGACGCTGTTCTGGAGAAGTAAAATGTTAAAGAAACAAAAGTCAGCACTGCTGCCTTTCTTACATTACTGTGTTAACCATGTAGGAAGCAGTTTAAACCATTGTTCATAAATGCATAACTAAGCATCTGGTTACTATGCAGACTGAAAAGAGGCATTTCAGAAGGCCTCTTTCCCTTCAAGCTCACTTAGAAAGACAATTTTTTAAACTAGAGTTAAATCAGTTTTACTTAACAACTAAACTAACTTTGGTATTCTCCACAATTATAGAATTGTTCATTTCAGAAATACATTTTGCAGACAGCATCGTAAAACAAGAAAATATGCTCTATCAATCAAGCCAGCGTCCAAATGTTATTCATCTAGATGTGGGGTAGCTTTCAGTTACCTTTTTAATTAATGTTCACCTCAGCAGACGGACATCAAAGTGGACAGCCTACTAAATAGCAGCACTCAGCCCACATGTTCATCATCTCTATTTGAATTAAGAGATTTGAGATGGAAAGGACCTGGCAAGCACGAGGTTCTGAGTTCAATTCTCGGTTCCAAAAAGACAGAAAGAGATTGGAGATGGATAGGTAAAAATAAGCAGATGAGCATGACATGACAAAAAGCCAGATCTGTGCAACATCCTGTCACGGGTTGGACCTTAAATGTTCCCCTAAGGCCCACATACTAAAGACTTGCTTACCTGTGGTGCTACGGGGAGGTGGCAGAACCTTTGGTGCAGGTGAGGTCTAGAGGAAGAAGTTAGGTCACGGTTGGGAGTGATGCCCTTGAAGAAGATATTGGGACCCTAGCTCTTTGCTCTTTCTCTCTTTGCTTCTTTGCTGCCATGAGGTAAGCAGCTTTGCTCTATCACTGTCTTGATGTCGTCTCAGCACAGGCCCAGGATTGATGCAGTCAAGAGACCATGGACTGAAACCTCTGAAACCATGAGCCAAAATAAATGGTCCCCCTTTTACACTGGTTATTTAGGTATTTTGTCACAGCCGTAAACAGCTGACTAGCACACACTTTCTTTCTGGCAAACTCTCAAGTTTTATCATTTTCCTACCTCCATTACTCATCAAGCATTAGCCACCTAAGGCTGAATTCACTTGGTTGTTTGTAAAAAGGGGGAGTTCCTATCACTGTGCCAAGTAAGTTGCCCCATCTGACATGTCACCTTCACCCTGGAAAAGTTACTGCCCTTCGTATGCAGGAAGTACTGATGTATTATAAAGAATTGCTGGGGGAAACCAGTAAATTGTCTGTCAGTGCTTCCTGTAGAGATGGCTCACATTTAGTTAATGCTCATATTCTAGTAAACTAAGCTATTATTATGTCACATTGGTGAAATAAACACCAGTGGGTGCCATTTTTTAGGCTACAAAAAAATCTTGCCATTGGCATATTTATGCCTGCTCCTAAGCCAACAGGGTGAAGTCACAGAATGTTATCCTCAGACCAGCTCATCACCCACCAGTATACATTCTAGGAAGGTTGTCATGGCTTCCCATGGGGTTTCCATGACTATGAAAGAGCTTTCCACATTCAAATTACCTTCCCTTCCCCTTAGAAATGTATATTCCATTTCTAATCCAGATAGGGGAACTACTCAAGGCTTTAGGCTAGAGCCTAGGAACGTGGATTTCAACAAGTTCCCAAGTGACTCTAATACTCATGATAAGAACAGATGCCCTGAGCTGACTTAGAGTATTTCAATCCACAGAATGATTCTTTTTCGTGTGTGTGTGTGTGTGTGTGTGTGTGTGTGTGTGTGTCGGCAATCGAACTCAGGACCTTGCACTTGCTAGGCAGGCTCTTGTGCCACTGAGCTATATCCTCAGCCCCAACAGAATGATTCTCTAGTATTATATGCAAGTTTCCTAAAGCTGGAGCCCAGGCATCACCTTTCATGCTCTCTGACATGTCAGCCCCTGAAACTTCAATGCCCTGCCCAGCTCAGCTGAAACCCCACCCTGCCCTTCAGGTTGGCTTCAACCAACTCTCCACCATGGAAGCTCCAACTTCCTCATTTCTCTGGATGCAGTTAGAAACTTGACTCCAACCACCAGTTTACTTTTTAAAGGAAGGATCACATTACCATACATTGTTCCTTTCTTTTGCCCTGATTTTCTATAAAGAAAAAAAAAGCTAATTTTTCAAGTATAAGAGACTGGAAATAATGTTCATTGTACTAAACATAATTCCCTTTTTCTCTTCCTCTTAGACTAGTCCCTGAGCTACCAAATGAGGGCTATTACACAACAGAGATCTTTCTCCATGGTATATAAGAAAAGAAACGGAGCAAAATTAGCTGTGAGGTAAAAACACACAGACTGTCTCCTGCAGCACTGGTAAAATGCTTTTGGAATCTTCAACAGTAAGTTTTAGGAACTGTTTATGAGAATTATGTTTTAAAAAACATAAAATGTTTCATCCAGCATCCACCACAGAGCAAATGCTCCACGAGTCCTTATCATTAGACAAAGTTGTTTTGTACACATCCCCAAAGCTGGAAAAGTTCTTTCAAGTAATCTGTTCAAAACTGCTTTTCTACAAAAGAGAAAAACCAAAGCTCTAAGAGTTAAGAGTCTTATCCAAAGCCAGAAGAGCACCAATGTTTTTAAAAGCACAATTCAATATTCTTTGGCCACTCCATAACACCTTTGACATGTAGGTATTAGACATGTAGGAAGAGGAAAGCTACAAGGCTCATGATACAGGCCAGTCATCTCAGAGGTACGCTTCATAGCTAACCAGACCAACAGGAGTAAATGCAGATGGGAAGCTTTGGGCTACCAAGACTGAGCCTGTTATAGGAAGTCAGTAATCACATAGCCAATTACTTCTCTCTTTCTGTGGTGGGGGAGAGCATTTATGTTCTTCTTGGGCAGTTTCTTTTGTTTCTCTTTTATTCAATCACCTTACACACAACTATGATGCAATATTTCGGGTTTTCTCTGATGAGAATAACCTATGAACATAAAGGCACTGAACAGATTTAAATTTCTGGCTATCTCAGGTGGGTTGGCTAGTAGAGAATCCAAGGATAAGCTACTCTCTCTGTTAGACATATTAACTGATTTCCACATATTAACTGATTTCTGTTATGTGTATGAAAAAGAGCAATTGATCACTATAATTTTTAAAATTTTGAAGCCCCTTTTAAAGTATATTTTTATACAATTCCTATACATGCATTGCTTAATGATTCTCCACCTTTACCTATTTATAAAACAGAGAAAAACTAGAAGATAACATTGTCAGCGTTTGCTATACATGAGACTTTACTACAAATAATTTTCTTAGAGTAAATAATAAGCCAATGCTAGGGCTCTTTGCTTAATAGCGCCTCAAATTTTTTATAGCCACATTGGCATTCCGTCCATGAAATAGGAGTACAGAGATGACTTCATTCTCTAGGATGAAGGATAATTGACCTTAACCTTCCTATCACTTTCTTTTAACTCAAAGCACTAATGCAATTGAAGGCACAGATAAATAATATCTCTGTAGGAAAAGAATGACGGTATGAAAGCCTGCCTCCAAATTACCCCCAAAAGCACAGTACAATATGTTTCAGGGTTCCAATTCATTAAGTTCCTGTTCCACAGCTTGGATGGAAAGCTACCACTATATTTTTTTTAAAGAAATTCAAACTCTGGTGGAGATAGGGCTTTTCTTCTCTATTTTAGGTGGGGGGGAAAGCCCAATACTACACAAAACCCTAACAATTACAAACGAGGCATTGTTTAGAGCAGATTGTTCATTTACACTGTATTTATTAGTGATGCTTTTATTACCGTGAAACTAAAACATCTCAGCAACTTCCTCGTTGCCAACTAACTCTGATTTGCCACAAATGACATATGCAGGTGATCAGCAGCACTACTGGAAACCTCATTTGACTTTGTCAAGGAGCTTTTTCACTAAGACAATTGCTATGCTCATCTCTTGCCCGTTTTTTTTTTCGTTCCTTCACGGATGATATTCACCACGCTGTGTCCGGGTGTGAACTTCTTTGTAGTTTGGCCTGGGAATTTTGCCATACTTTTTCAAATACAGATCAATGGTGGGACACGGCAAAAGTTTTACCACATTTTTCCAAATCGGGGTCTACACATAGGAGCCTGCAGACTGTCATGTTAGATTCAAATGTTTCCCTTTCCAAACCGAATGATTAGTAACGTTATCTCCGCCTTTGCTTCGTCTCTTTTAGGTAACTACAGCACCTCCCAGGAGGCAAGGTGATCGGGAGACCTTACAGCCAGCACGCACACTTCCACCCTAGGCATCTGCACACTCAGGAGTGCTTGACGCTTACACATACACACACACACGCACACCCTCCCCCCACACACACCAGAAAACACGAAGTTCGCAGGAAGCCCGAGCTCTCAACTTTGCATAGAAATCGTTCCCTCTGCCAACCTTCACACAAAGCACACCTTGCCAGTCTAAACTTATGCACTAATGTACTTTACTGGCAACTCCGCAGTAGCCACCGTCACACTCCACAAGACAAACCCGCAGCGGCCGCCACCCGTGCCCTCCGCGCGTCCCGGCTGTCGCACCCACTCACCGCGTGTGCAGGCGCAGTAGCCCCAGTCCACCTGGCCCCGGGCGTCCGCGTAGAAGCACCAGGGTCTGCTCGCGCCGTCCGGGCTCCAGCAGAAGTTGTGTCGCTGCCCTCGCAGCTGAGCCCAGCCCGCCGGCGGCGACCGCTCCAGGAAGGGCGGCACCTCCGCCCAGCGCAGGCACGGGGTGCCCAGCTCCGTGGCGTTGGCCGCGCGCTGCCCGGAGAAGCAGCCCCCGGGGTGCGGCCGCAGCGCGTGTCCAGCCTGGAGCGCGTGAGGGCGCAGGGCGGGGGCCGCCCGCCGGGGACACGGGGGCGACGGAGGCGTCCGGGCGGGGTACTGGGCACCCGCAGGGGGCGAGTGGCGGTGGCGGAGGCACGGCGGGTGACTGAGGCTCGGGTCGACGCTGACCACTTCAGGGAGCGCCCCCAGCATCAGCGCCAGCCAGCAGCGCGCGAGCGTCATGGTGCCAGCGCCGCGGGGTCCGGGCCATGCCCCAGCCCGGGTGCGGAGCGAGGCGGGAGGGCGGGGCGGGCGC